AATTCTGGTCAGAATGAACACTGAATTTTTAATAACTGATACAGAGTGAGCATCAATAGCCAAGTCTGGGTATGTAAGTAAAGTATGGACTGGTAAGAGTGTTTTGTTCCTGCACTTCAATGTGTTTACTGTGTGTGATGATAGAGTGAGCTGAAGAAGGTATCTTTGCAACTGGGAGTCAAAGACAAAGTTGAAAATAGAAAAACTTCATAATGAAGATCACAGTCCCTGAAGGATTTGATCTGGATTTTAAAGAGACATGTCGAAGTATGGGTACATTATCTGTCCAGCAGCTGCCTCTGAAGATTTGCAAAGCAGTGTGTAAATTATGTAAATTATGAACTTAATGTATCAAGAGTAATTTTATAAACAATGAAAGACTGAATAAGTGTGCGTAAAACCAACATTGATTTTGTTATATATGATGCACATTTTGTGTAACATAGTTTACTTTGTATAAACAGCTTTCTGTCTAAATTCAACTCCTTCCTTTCCTTCTGTAAGCTATGCCTTTCTTTTTTTCCTCTTTTAAGTCTACTTGGAGTAACAGCAGAACCAAAAGGAGAACATGGAGCAATTGCATTATTTAACTGACCTTCTCCAACAATTTTAGTAGAAATTATTGATATGCTAATCATATCAGTAGTGATCTATAGATCACTACAATAATATACAATTGTTCTTCAGATATTAATTGGGCTAAAGTTCTGTGACAGCCAATGTCAGAACTGATCCATATTAGTTTAAGATCCTTAATTGCATGTAATTGTAGATTTGCTTATGAACCAAACAGCTGCTCCTTTTCCATAATCTATTTTACTCTGCCATTTGAAAGGATTAAGCTTGATGCAGCTCCATGAAGTATTTTTTAATTTACCTTGTCTTGGCTCTATTTTATATTTTACATTGCACCTGGCCTGAATTTTCTAGAGCTCCTTGTTAATCTAGTGAAGCTTTTCATCTAGCCACATTAATGACATTACTTTTTTCATTACTTTTTTCATTACTTTTTGCAACAATCTATTTGGCTTTCCTGTCTTGGCTCAGGATGGTGCAGTTTAATTGTAACATCTCAATCAAAACAACATGTATAATCTGCAAGCAGCATTCTTAAAAATGTTGCAACAAATGAGTTAAATGAAGTTGAGTGCACTTGAAAGTTCTCTAAGCAATTGCTGATAGATGCAATCTGGGCAACATCATTTTGCAAGAATATTTATTGAGAATATTCAACATTAGCTTTTGAGCGCTTATGAAATTGACTGTAAGCATGGGCCCAATATAGGGAGCTAAAAAGGAAGCATGAACGAGATATGTTTTTCATGAACATCTCTCTCTTTGTGTGTGTGTGTGTGTGTGTAATAGTTGAGGAGGACAGAATTGTGAGGTGATAGAGTTGTTTAAACTTTTGTTGTTCTTTGGCTGTGAACAACAAAAAGTTTCCTCATATACCAAATTACTGAACACAGTTGTTTGGAAGCTGGTATCGTATGTATGAAAAGCACAGTTACTATGAAGCATGGTTGAGTGAATATGCTTCAAATCCCTGTATCATTCTTCAGAGGACTGATGATACTGGCCTGTAACTAAAAGTTTTTCACGTGTAATCACAAAATCTTCAAATAGCTTTGTCCATTGAATTCTGCATTACTTAAGCTTTTACTGTCTTGGAGACAGGAATAAGAAAAAGTGTATTTTGTCTTTGCAGGTGGAACAATGTGCATTCAGGACTAGGTCACAAAAGATAAACCAAATAGTGCCAGTTTGTGGGTGAATTACACAGCATATAGGTCATCGTTAGATTTCCAAGTGCATGATTGGGATAGCAGTTTGGCTGATATCCATCAAAATAACATTGCTTAACTAACATGAACAATCTTCAAGCAGACTGATTGAGTAAAAAATTTATTTCCTAGGGGGAATAGAAACCCCAGAACGTGTTCTGGCAAATCTTCAGTTGATAGAATAAATTATTAAGTACTCTTTGCAGCAACCAAGAATGGTAAATATGCTATTTTGTACCCTTAATAAAGGAGGTATCTTAGGAGCAGCTTACTCTATTTTTTTTTTTCTTTTTTTTTTTTCCCCTTCCTTGAGATTTTTCATTAATGCATTCTTTGCTGATAACGTTATCCATTCCTCCTCCAGGAGAGTCATCAATAACTCCATAAAAAGGATCCCTATGACAGGGATGCCACCTCTTTGCATTCTTCTGGAAGTACAGTTTTGTTGTTGACTTTCATCATAGCTGAACACATTTCCAGAATTCAGGTCTGCTAAAATCTGAATTTCTTCACTTCTTACTATTGAACAGCATAATAATTAAAAAACTGAAAAGGACCTGTACTGAGACAGCAGAATTTATGTGTTTCACATACCAAATTTAATGTTCAAAGCAGGAGGTATTCTGCCTCCTAAATGTGAAGCTACATTCTGAGAAAAGAATAGCATTATTTAAAAAACAAACAAACAAGCAAAAAAGCCTCCTTGCAACTAGGAAGATAAAATAATCTTACAGTCAAAAATGCAGTGAATGAGAATGCAGTAAGACTGTGCAGGAGACAGGAAACATCTAAGTCAAAGGATGGTACAGTCGCTTAGTATAGGAGAGTGGCAGTCTTAAAATAAGTAGGAAGGGTGGAGAAGCTAGAGTTTGCTAGCCTGTGAAAATGTAGACTGAAGTGAAAGAATGCAGGAAAGGGAGTAAGAACCAGCTTTGTATTGGTTTTGGAGATAGAATATTTTCACACCATGAAAATAATGTGTTTGCGTATGTCTGTTGTGATTAGCCTAGGGGTGTAATATCATTTATTTTTTCTATTAGGTTAAATGTCCTTAAAAAGTTAATCTTTCCTCATCTTGAGAATATTGTGATTTGTTGTGTTGTATATGTTGTGTGTCTTGCCTTTAGGCCCATCTAACTTCTTACAGAGAGGATTGTTGAATCACTTAAGTTGGAAAAAGACCCTTATGATCATCAAGTCCAGCCATCCACATAACTACCAAGTCTACAGCTAAACTGTGTCCATAAGCACAGGAAGGCCAACTTCTGCTTGGAAGGCCAACTATGCCCTGGGCTGCATCAAAAAAAACGGGTGGCCAGCAGGGAGAGGGAAATTATTGTCTCCCTCTACCCTGCTCTTGTGAGACCCCACCTAGAATACTGTGTGCAGGCCTGGGGACCCCAGCACAAGAAGGATGTGAGCTCTTGGAATGGGTCCAGAGGAGGGCCACTAAGATGATCAGAGGGCTGGAGTACCTCTCCCATGCAGAAAGGTTGAGGGAACTGGGCTTTTTTAGCTTGGAGAAGAGAAGGCTCTATGGAGACCTCATTGCGGCCTTCCAGTACTTGAAGGGAGCATATCAACAGGAGGGGGAACACCTGTTTATAAGTGTTGGTAGTGGTAGGACAAGTGGGAATGGTTTTGAACTAAGACAAGGGAGATTTAGGTTAGAAACTAGGAGAAAGTTTTTCACTCAGAGGGAGGTTAGGCACTGGAACAGGTTGCCCAGAGAGGTTGTGGATGCTCCATCCCTGGAGGCATTCAAGGCCAGGCTGGAAGCATCTCTGGGCAGCCTGCTGTAGGGGCTGGCAACCCTGCCCAGGGGAGGGGCGTTGAAACTAGATGATCTTTGAGGTCCTTTTCAACCCTGGCCATTATACAATACTATGATTCTAACTTCTTATAGAGAGGATTGTAGAATCACTTAGTTTGGAAAAAGACCCTTCTGATTATCAAGTCCAGCCATCCACATAACTATTCTGTCCATAAGCACCACATCCACATGTTTCTTAAATACCTGCAGGGATGGCAACTCCACCACTTCCCTGGTCAGCCAGTTCCAGTGCCTAACCACCCTTTCCATTAATAAATTCTTCCTGATATCCAATCTAAGCCTCCCCTGGCATAACTTGGTGACAGTTCCCTATGTCCTGTCATTTCTCATTTGAGAAAAGAGACTGACAACCACCTTGCTACAACTTCTTTTGAGAAATTTCCTAACATGAAATGTCTTTGTAGTTTATTAATACGATCAAATCTGAGAAAGAATAATGATACAATAAGGTGTTTATTGAAAAGAAATTTTTCTGATTTCTTAATAGGAAGTTTAAATAGGTTTGCTGCATTATGTTGAAATGTGTTCATTGTTTAAAGAATGTTTTGTTTAAAATCACTTTAATTACTTTATTCTTTTAGTGATGTTTTCTAAAGTGATTCAATTTTACCAAAACTAGAGACAGTAACTACTTCTGTCATACTGTAAAGACTACGCGAGATTTCATGTAGACTTTATTTCTACATTTGCATCTAGAAGTTTGCTGAAATATTACAAATTTTAAAGGGCACATTCCAACACTGAATGATGAAAGGGTTTGAGACTATGCTAGCACTGGTTTTAGAAGACTGGGAGAAAGGTGAGAGCATAAGATATCAGATGTCTGTATTTTCTTGTAGGATGCACCGTCCACATCTTCAAATTTCATTATTTAAAAAAAAAGAGATCAATTATGTAACATCTTTATAATTATGCAATACAAAAAATATTGTCATACTGGAAAATTTTAAGCAAGGAATATAGAGACAAGCAGGTAGTCAAACAAATTACTACTGTAGGACAATTAACATTAGCAGAAATTACTTTCATGTCTTAACATTATTATTGTAATGAAGGATAATTATGATATGGAACTTGAAATTGGAGTTGCAGTGATTGAAAACATATATGACAGATGCTTGAAGTTGTTGGCAGTTTAGGTTGTTTCATTTTGCTGTTAGATTTTTGGTAATTACCTGAACACATGACAAATTGTCATTAAGTGCAACAGTAAGAAAAATCTATCAACGCCACTTTAAAAATACATTCAGTAATGCTGGAAACTACATTTTTTTAGGAAATAGAAAATGTTTTTTTTCTGATTTTAGCACCTGTATTACTGCTCCCTTTTTAACCTGTACTTAGCTCTCCTTTCAGATACTGCAAGCTGAAAGAATCCATTGGGTTTTTGAAACAAGTATAAATACCTCCTCCTGCCCAAGCTGCTGATTGTGTGACATGATGTAAGTCATGTAACCATTTCATCTGCTTTTTCATTGTAGATGATGAAAATTTTCTGATTTCTATACTTTGATGAAGTTGATCAGAAATGTTTATACAAGATGCCCTGCCAACCATGATGCAAATTTTCATCTTATTTTAAAATTGAGATTAATTTAGTAAAGAAAACTTATTTTGAAAAAACAACCTAAATTGAAACCTTACATTTCTACTTTTTCAGCTGAAACTATTCATTAGATTTGTGATACTTTCACAAACAATTTCATCTGACCTAAAATATGTGAGACTGCTTACAGCTGCTTATCCTTCTTACACTGTTACTTATTAGTTTTAGAATGTTTTGAGCAATTAATATATATACTTGCTTAACAAGTATATGTTGTTGTTGGCTGCAACTTTATAATCTTAGCTGCAGTTTCATTTTCTCCCTGTGTGCTTGATTGTGTTTTAAATTTAATTCATTTTGAAGCTGGTGAGTTATGACTTTGAATTTTTTTCAGTTATTAATTATTTAAGTCCCAATTATGAGAGCTATTCACTAGTGGATCCAGAAAATAAGTGATCTCAAAGGAAAGAAACCAAAAAGTTTCAAGAAAAAAAAGATATAGGGAATATAGGGAAATATCAAATAGAGATTTTTTAGGAGAGAAGAAATACAGAGAGAATTCCCTCTGTGTGAATCAGGAATGACTGACAAGTTTCAGTTCATTGATCACATTAATATGGTATTAGTAGAGAATCTACCTTTTAAGTATAATATCAGCATCTTTCAACTGACCAAAGAAGTTATTTTTCGCAGATCTGTGTTATAATCTAATGAACATTACCTTCAATAAAAAATCAAGGAAATAGATAACGGAATTTTCTGAGGAGTTTCTTGGTGAGCTAGGATGGTAGAACTCACTTTGCAGTAAACAGGACATAATTACCTAGTTTAAAGATGAGACAATGGGAATGAATTGGGACTTCTGAGTAGCTCATATTTAAAAGGGGTGTTCATGGCTCCCACAACTCCTTCAGTTAGCTTATAAGATGCCCAACACCACGAATGTGAAATAACTATTGTGATCAGTACGTTATTTTGTTTGTAACTTGCTTTTAGTATTATATATCTAGGTTCTTCTAGAGTGGGTGTAAACATGAACTTCTTTGTTCTGTACATCTTATTAAACATGAACTACTGAGTACACCTGCATTCTTTTCTGTTAACTAGTGTCTTTTCTTCTCTTTTCTTCTTTCTTCTTTCTTCTTCCATTGCAGAAAGGCTTATATTTGCTTAGCCTTGCAATTGCTTTTGTCCTGCCCAATGTGCTGATCTCCAGAAGGACTGAGCTTGAAACTTTTGTTGTTTAGTCATTATTCATTATTTTTAAAGAATTTTTAAAATGAAATTTGTAATGTTGTTATTCTCTTTTGAGCATTTGTACTTACTATTTACTGTGTTTTTCTTCTGATGTCATTAAGATGAAAATTAAGTTTGTTTCATAACTATAGATATTTTATCTGATGCAAATACAAAATATATGATGCAAATAAATTTGTGTTTGCAATTGTCACCTGTTTCAGAATTTCTAATAATTAACTCTTGAGCTCTCTATAGATAAGTTTTTGTATAATCACGTGAGCTGCCTGCATGAATGTAGTTGTGTTTTGTGTAAAAGTCACTCCTAGATCTCATGAACTTTCTCTTCTGCTTGTTCATCATTAAGGTTTGAAATCAGTAATTAATTATTTTTGATTATGTATTATTCTAGCAATGTGTAGAATATTTTATATCAGTGTTTTCACAGAGAAACGATAACACAATCTTTACAGCCTGAACACTCTTTATAAAGGTACTTTAGATGACCTGTCACTTTCCAGAAGCTATTTAATCTCTCTTCAGTCTCTTACATCTGCAATATATGAATTTTATGTGGTTCAATCACCTTTGTAAATAACAGCTTTCTCAGAATTGGAATGAGCAAATATTTGATTGCTAATAATTTTGCTCAGGCAATATTATATCCAAAACAAGTTTTCACAAGTTTAAAGAAAGTTTTCTTTAAATCAAAGACTTCTAACTTATAAATCATTAGGAGACTGAAGCATAAAAAGTATTCACCCACCAGATGCTGTTAATTAACTTCAGTTATTTTACTAGGTCTGTTATATCCTGCCAATCACTGAACTGTCTTAGTATCAAATAGATATTTTCTCTCTTACTGCATTCTTTCAAAGATCCAAATTTTCTTTGTTATTTATGTAGCAAATAGTATGTAGAAAATAAATCTTATTATACATTTTATACTTTTTTTCTGAAATCAGTGACATTTATAGTTCTTCTGATTTCCCAGGACTAAATTGATAAATATGGACCGTCCAGCTGGAAAACACTGTTTATTGTGTGTTAGGTGTTTAACGAAACACCCCTACCCACCCCCAAAAAAAGACAAAACCAACTTTCTTAAAATGTTCAGCTCTGTTGTTCTTGAAGGTGGAAGGTCATTGTCATGGGAGGCTATGTTCGTGGTTGTGCTAAACTGATTTTTTCTGTCATGTAAGCTCACGCACTTGAGGCATTTGAAAGGAAAAATTGAAAACTTAAATTTAACTGTATTCAATAGGAAAACAATTCTATGAGTGGAGTGATGTATTCTTGGTGACCTGCGTTGCTAAGAAACAAACTGCTGTGTTCTCAATTGATTAAGTCCTTCTCTTCTAAGTGTTTTTACCACAAAGTACATTGCAATGCCTTATTCAGGCTTGGACATTTCAAATCCATTAACTATGAGGTCAAGCTATTATCTGCTTCTTTACTTCCTTCAATCTTGTTCCATCTAAACTAAAATCACTTAGACACCTCTCAGTGAATATCTAGTATAAAGTTCCAGTGCAACAGGGGACAAAGAAAAACTCTTCCTATTTCTCCAGACCTATCTCCGTATACTGTTTCTTTTCTTGATCCTGGTAGAGGATCACTGCCAACTGCATTTGTCGCACAGAACTGTAGCGTGGATATCATCTTCAGCCCACTCTTGTTCCACTTGCTAGTACTGAATTTGCCCAGTGCAGGGCAGGTTACAGCATGTGTCCACATAGTGCCTTTCTGTGAAATTTGGCAGTGCCCACAACAAAAGATTTGTAAAAGCTTGTTTATTTTTATATTAGTTGTGGAAGGATAGTTGATACACGATCAGATATAAAGTAAGCCAATACAGAGTTAACATGTCAGCATTGTGTGAACTAATTTAAACCAATAAAGTCATTTTATAAAGTATCTATTCTGTGCATTGGGGGCACTGCATAACTTTTATTTAGAGTAGGGATAATCTGTCTAGATTTATTTTATCATTTTTTCCTATACTTTTTGAAGAGTGATTCTAAAATAGTAACTTACTTACTCAGCTATAGAGCTGATATGTTTTCTCTTGCTTTACTGTTTAATTATTGTAAAATCCTTCTGTAGTTAGAAAAATGTTCTGTGTGTATTTATCTAAAATATTGGTGTTCTGTGTAGTTTGTCACTATTTCATTTTTATATCCATCTCTAAACTGGTATTGAAACTTTTCACTTTAAGCCTCCTAACTTCTCCCTCCCTCTCTTACACTTGATGTATGTGAAACTAGAACTTTAATCTCAGTTTCTAAATCTAACCATTGAGAAGAAATCATGTACCCAGAGAAGCTCTGAAATTTAAGTCAACCAAAACTGATAGAACATCAGAAATTCCAGCTTGCAATATCCTGAGCTTATGAGTTAGTGTTTATGTCTGTTAATCATCACACATTGACTATTATTTCCACCTTTCCATCCTGTTCTTAATTGGATATATTTCATTTATTATCCTCAGCCATATATTTTCAGGTAGTACAAATAGCTTTATAGATCAGCAGTCACACAATCTCATCTACTTTTTTCTTGAAGCTTAGTACATGTTTACTCTGAAATGCTTTTAGGACAAATAACATAGGCTGAGTAGTGGTAGTGATTTATAGTAGCAGTAATGCTTCTTCCCAGAAGAAGAAAAAAAGAAATATTTTGAAATCTTCATATTCCAGGCTAATTCAGAATTCTTAGCTGTTTTTCAAGAGGTGATTAAACTGACCGGTTATGACTTAAAGCACTGATTTGGACATCTGGCTAATGAAATAATGGAGGATTTCTGGCTTCTACTTCTGCAAATGCATTTCTGGCTATAAATTTTTGTTTTATTTCTCAGTTTTGAATTCCATCAGACTCGTTTTGTTCTGGGGTTTCTAGATGGAGTCCACTGTTAGTGTTATTTTGCTTGAAAGAGGCTAGACTTTATATTAGTCCTAAATTCACTATTAGAGGTTGGTTGATACTATTATTCACCGTTATAAGACACTGCTTTATTGAGAGTCAGGTCTGGATTATGGTCAGACTGCTCCAAGATCAGGAAGGTTTTGGCACATGAGGGCTCACCACTTTTCTTGTGCTTGCATTAGTAAATGTCACTTTGCTAGGGAATTTTCACCCTCCTCACTGGAAGTAAGTTGTTCATGCTCTTTCCTTATTAGTACAAGTGAGAAGAGTTTTGTCAAGGACATTGCTAAACATTTTCAAAGTTTGGGAGTTTATACAGGCTGTGGGTTATTCTCAGCTGGCAGTTTGCTTGCAGACAGGCTGGTTTGGAAGATAATATAATTAAAAAAATTGGACTTCTGCTCAGTGGCAGTTAGTCCCAGAGAGTGGTATTTCTCACAGCTAATTTATGACTACCACTCTAACATCTGTAGAATTCCCATGCATCTATTGTTCTTTAAAGTAGAACGTATCACTTAGAATATCATTGAAAAGTTGTACGACCCTCCAGCAGTTAATTCCAGTAATGTTGAAACTCTGTACTTTGCTTCTGTCACGAATTCGTCTACCATCAACCTCTAACCAGAGGATTTAGTCATACTTATACCTTTGAAATCTTCATCTATGGGCAAGTATTCACTGCCCATGTGATAGGCAAGATGTTTTTCAGCAGTCATGTGCATATACACCTGG